ACGCCCCAGCCCCCCACCGCCCCCAAAGGGGCGAGCGACGCCAAGCTCTGCGCTCTCTACAAAGAGGCCGAGCTGCGCCTGAAGGGCAGCAGCAACACCACGGAGTGTGTACCCGTGCCCACCTCGGAGCACGTGGCCGAGATCGTGGGCAGGCAAGGTAAGCGGGCGCCGGGACCACTGCGAGGGACTGGAGTGGGGGGCACCCCGTCCCCAGCGCGGAAAGTTCATTGCTCCTCTCCTTGCCCGCCCCCGGTTCTGTCCCTTCCTCACAAAGGGGGACCCGCCCCCTACCCTGATTTCCAAGTGCCACAAAGTTCCCTGCTCCCCCTAGTCGGGACGGTTCTCCAGATCCTTCCTCCCCCAGGCTCAGCCCTTAGACAAAGAAATATCCTCGCACTGGGAGAGGGAAAGGGGAGGGGATCAGTCTCCCAATCCAGGGAGGCTGTCCGGAGGGGGTGTCCACTCCCGGTCAGAAAAACTGACGGAATGTGCAGAGTTACACAGGAGGCCCTACTCCGGCATCTGGTCGTGAATTGGGGAGGGGGTGCCCCCGGAACCCCCAGCCGACTGGAGTTACAGACTTTGGGGGAGACCTAGCCCGCGAAGCCAGACTGAGTATCTGTCTCTTTGTTGGGCTGAGTGTAGGAATGGAAGGGGGTGTGGCCCAGGGGAGGGTCCCAGCTTGGGGGAGAGATGGTGAGGGGGGCCGCAGGGAGGAGGGGGTCCTGTGGTTACCCACACACCAAAGTTGGGCCATCTGTGGGGTTTTGGAAGGGGTGTCTCCAAGGAAGTGCTGCGTCCTGGCGTGGACCTCTCCTTCTCCCTCTCTGGCTTTTGTTCTGGGTTGGCCACGGCCTGGGGCCCCGAGGCCTAGAGAGGGGTCTCTGGTAGTGATGGAGTTGGACAGGGCAGGAGAGGCTTGCTGGGGGGTGAGAAACCTTCACCTGGAAATTTGGCAGAGGGCATGTGTCTGAGTGCATGGGGAGGGGGGGTGTAGAATTAATCCAGTGTAGTATGTCTGATACCACACCCTCCTCTGCTCCAGCATCCCTGGGTAGGTGGGAGGGGGTGTTGGTGAGGGTCCAAATTGAGCAGACGGGATCTTGGGGATCCTACCCTCTCCCAGTTCCCCAAAGGGGAGTTTGGGGGGGACGGGATTTGGAAATGGCAGAGGGGCTGGGCTGGGGAGGTGTGGGGTGGGGGAGGAGTGGGGGAGGAGCTGTCCCACCGTGGGGAACAATAGCGGAGCTGCATTCCGGCTGGGAGTGAGGGAGGAGGCCGGCTCCCGGCGGGGACAAGGGGAGGCGGGCCGGGGGGGCCCCTGCTTCACATCCCACTTCATCCACCCAGAGTGCTGGCGGCGAGGGATTGCACCCGGAGAGCCAGAATGGAGGAGGGGAAGATGCCACTCCCCTGCACGGCCCTCACCCCTCTGGGGCACTCCATCTCTTGAGGTTTCTGGTTTGGAAAGTTGGATTCCCTCTTCTTGCCAGAAACTGGGGATCCGGAGCCCTGGAATTGGGTGGGGACAGACATTGCTATCTTTTTTTGGGTGTGGGGGTGGTCTTGGGAGGCCCCGGAATTTAATGGAGTCATTCCTTCCTCTTCTGCCTCTGCATCAGATGGCCCTGCCCCTCATAAAAGTAAGGGAATTTCTCCTCTTCAGAGGAGATAATCTTCCTCCTTATTCAAGAACATGGAAGTCCTCCCTCTTGTCTAACCTCTCTCCCCTTGCTGCAGTGTTAGTGCTCCTCTATTTGACCTCTAGGAAGGTGAAGCCCAGTGGGTCTTCCCTTCAAGGTACGCTTCTTCAAGATTGCAGAGCTCAGGAAGGGGCCCACTACCAGTTCTGCACCTCCAGGCTTCTGGCTTTTCTTCTTACTCTCATGCCCCGGCCTCTCATCCTCACCCCAACCGCAATCCCCAAGGATACCTAGCTCTCACTTAAGTTTGTGGACCCAGAACTTGAAGCCAGAACCCAGATGCCCATCAGATGACCTGTGAGCAGAAGTGACAGGAAAGGGGACTTCACTGTTCCTCAACCTTCCATGCCTCACAAATAGAACAATCATTCACTGATATTGAAGCAGCAAGGATGTGGGCTTGACAACAGGTAGGATTTTTTTTTTTTTTTTTTTTTTTTTGAGTTGGAGTCTCACTCTGTTACCCAGGCTGGAGTGCAGTGGCCGCTCCCGGCCACCGCAGCCTAGACCTGCTGGGCTCCGGTGATCCTTCCGCCTCAGCCTTCCAAGTAGCTGGAACTACAGGTGCACGCTACCACACCCGGCTAATTTTTTACTTATTATAGAAGAGATGAGGTCTCGCCAAGTTGCCCAGGTGGGTCTCGAACCCGTGGGCTCAGGCAATCCGCTCACCACGGCCTCCCAAAACACTGGGATTACAGGCTGAGCCACTGAGCCCGGCCTGGGTAGGACTTCTTAATTGCCAAGAGGTCTGAGGACCTGAGAAGGAGCAAATTACCCTGACTTATGTTCCTTAAAGATGAGGGGAGTGGCCCTGGACACACCCTGTCCACCACACACAAACACACATACACACACACAATTTGCTGCTAAGGTTGGAGAAAAAGCCATCTGGAGTAGAGGACGGAGGAAAAAAATGAGCTCACCTCAGGCTTGTGGGTGGAGGATTGAGCAGAGGCAGAAAAGCAGGACCTCTTGGTTTTGGATAGGTAGCGTGGTGGTCGAGCGAGAGAGGGAACAGTGAGTTGTGCCTGGAGACAGGTATGGACGGGAGCAAAAGTTGTGGGTATGTATAGGAATGTGCTGTGTGTGTGTACTGGGGAGGATGTGGATGAAGGTGGGATGGATGGAAGGCTTGGTGTGGACTTGGTGTGTATGTGAAGTGTATACTGGGCCAGCCTCACAAGTGTTGTATAGATAAAGGCATGCCGTGCATCATGGCTCTTAGTTACGTGTGTGGAAACTCACACACATGTGACATGTGTGCTTGTCTGACGGCTCTGAGTTTCTGAGGCTGTGTGTGAAGCTAGGGGCAGGGAGGAGCACGGCAGGAAAGGAGGGTGCTTGTCTTATCGGCCATTGAGGTCTGCAGCCTTAGAGCCAAGTAGCCATCCCAGCCTCCCTCACTCTACTCTCCCCTTCTCCCTCTTTGTCTCTCTTTGTCTGGCTTTTCTTCTTTCTCTTCCTGCCTCTCTTCCCAGCCTCCTAGCTTTAACCCACTGCTAATTCAGAGCAGGAGTATGGGTCCAAAATACCCTCTCCCCCATCCTACTCGGCCCCCATCTCATCTTAGCTCTCCTGTCCCCAGGGGACAAGAGTGACAGGGGGCTAGGTACTGCTCCCTCGCATCTCGATTTGGTTTTTCTTCATACTCCTCCTTTCCACTTGAAATTCAGATTCTCAGGCCCTTTTCAGTCCCCCACACTCCACTAGTTGCTGCAAACTCATTATGAATCTGAGATCCACTGAGAGAGACAGCTGGGTGGGAGGCAATGGGGGGGGTCATAAGGCAAACGGACGTCAGTGGTCCCTGAGTAGTTTGGAGGACCCTTTTAATGACTGAGGGTCAAATGAGCCGATTGTGAGGTTACTAAGCACATTGGGGCTCTGTGGAAAGATCGGGGTCAGTGACAGATTTGGGGAGGGGACAGTGATGAAGTGACTGGGGAGTTTGGGAGGAGCCAGAAATCAGTAGACAAACAGAGAGCACCAAATGTTGGGTGGGGGGGTTGTGAATGGATTTGAGGTTAGCAGCTTGTATGGGAGGGTCAAAGATCATTTGGGGGTTTCAAGGAGTAGATGGAGTTGGAGGGTCCTGAATGGAACTCCAGGGAAAGTTGGTATGTTTTGAAATCTGGGGTTGGGTAGAGTTGGGTAGATCTGACACCCGATGAGTGGATTGTTCAAGTCAGGGTGGACTGTGTGTCGCAGCGGCTGTTTCAAAGGGGAAACCGAAGGGTTCCCGGGAGGCTGGATATCCGGGTGAGGATCTGGAGCTTATTGGTCCCAGCACAAACCTTCTTGCCCTGTGAGTCTCTTTCTCTCTCCCCTTCCCCACCCTGTCTCAGGCTGCAAGATTAAGGCTCTCAGAGCCAAGACTAACACCTACATCAAGACGCCGGTGCGCGGCGAGGAGCCAGTGTTCATGGTGACGGGGCGGCGGGAGGATGTGGCCACAGCCCGGCGGGAAATCATCTCAGCAGCAGAGCACTTCTCCATGATCCGCGCCTCCCGCAACAAGTCAGGAGCTGCCTTTGGTGTGGCCCCTGCTCTGCCCGGCCAGGTGACCATCCGCGTGCGGGTGCCCTACCGCGTGGTGGGGCTGGTGGTGGGCCCCAAGGGGGCAACCATCAAGCGCATCCAGCAGCAGACCAACACGTACATTATCACACCAAGCCGGGACCGGGACCCAGTGTTCGAGATCACCGGGGCCCCGGGCAACGTGGAGCGCGCGCGCGAGGAGATCGAGACGCACATCGCGGTGCGCACGGGCAAGATTCTCGAGTATAACAATGAAAACGACTTCCTGGCGGGGAGCCCCGACGCGGCGCTTGACAGTCGCTACTCTGACGCCTGGAGGGTGCACCCGCCCGGCTGCAAGCCTCTCTCCACCTTCCGGCAGAACAGCTTGGGCTGCATCGGCGAGTGCGGTGTGGACTCGGGATTTGAGGCCCCACGCCTGGGCGAGCAGGGCGGCGACTTCGGCTACGGCGGGTACCTGTTTCCCGGCTATGGCGTGGGCAAGCAGGATGTGTACTACGGCGTGGCGGAGACAAGCCCCCCACTGTGGGCGGGCCAGGAGAACGCCACGCCCACCTCGGTGCTCTTCTCCTCGGCCTCCTCCTCCTCCTCCTCCTCCGCCAAGGCCCGCGCTGGGCCTCCGGGCGCGCATCGCTCCCCTGCCGCTTCCGCAGGGCCAGAGCTGGCCGGACTCCCGAGGCGCCCGCCAGGGGAGCCGCTTCAGGGCTTCTCTAAACTGGGCGGGGGCGGCCTGCGGAGCCCCGGCGGCGGGCGGGATTGCATGGTGTGCTTTGAAAGCGAAGTGACGGCCGCCCTCGTGCCCTGTGGACACAACCTGTTCTGCATGGAGTGTGCAGTTCGCATCTGCGAGAGGACGGACCCCGAGTGTCCGGTCTGCCACATCACAGCCACGCAAGCCATCCGAATATTCTCCTAAGCCCCCTGCCCCATGCCTCCTGGGCCCACTCTTCAGGGCCCCGCCCTGGACCTGTTTTACACTAGGGCCTTTTGGAAATCAGCTATTTGAGGGGCAAGGTGCTTAGAGATACTCGCTCGCTGGGAAGGGGGGAAGAGAGGCGGGGGTGGCTGGAGGGTGGGCCACTTTCAGAGCCTCTGGTCACCCTGTCCTGGAAAGACTGGGAGGGGGCCAGACTGAAGATTTTACTAGAGTTACAACTCTGATACCTCAACACACCCTTAAATATGGAAGCAGCTAAGAGAAACTTTTGTTTTGCCAGAGGTGGTAGCTAAGACATCCTGACCCCCTCCGCCCACCTTCCCAACGGTGTGCCACTCTCCCCCTTCCTCTGCGGAGGGGGTGGGGAAGAGGGAGAGGGAGAATGACCACCTGTACCTAGAGGTGCTCTTTCCAATCCCCAAGCCCTCTGATCCTGACCTGGGACCTGCTAACATGACCCTTTGGCACCCCGCCCCCATATCCTGTTTGGGAAACTGTTCCAACAGTCTTAGGGAGTTGGAGCCCTTTCAGAAGTTGGTTGATCTTCTGGGGAGAGGGGCAGAGAAGCATGTCCACCGCTTCAATTGAAAAAGGGCTCAGAAACCATCTGCCCCTCAAAGCTGGGCTGGAGGAAGCTGGAGGGGGAAGCCTCTGCCCCTCCAATCTTTCCCTTCACTCCTTTGTCTCTTGTTGACACCCCCCCACCCCCACTCTTTCCTGTCACTCCCAGTCCTGTCTTGCTTCTTCTCTTTGTCTCTTTCCCTCTCTCTCTCCCTCCTGCCCCTTCCAGTCCAGCTTTGGGAACACCATCCCCCTGGGGAGAGTAGGGGGAAGGATATTTTAGTGGTCTCCCCATTCCTCTCCAGGCATCTGGAGGGCCGCTCCCCCACCCCTCCAAAGAAACATCTCGAATTCTTGATGGAATGTATCCCCATCCTCAATGGAAATTTGAGGAGGGGACTAATACTGGGGTACGTAAAGGGTCACACCTCCACCTTCATCATCTATGGGCATTACATTGTGGGGGCAGTTCTTGGGATGTTCTGGTTATGGAAGGGGGCGGCCAGGGTCATGTGTCTGCTACTTCAAGGAGCAGGAAAGGGCCTGAGGCAGGAGGAGACGGTTGGAGGGACAGGAGGGACAGGAGGGATAGGACGGCAGCTCCTCCTCCCTGCAGTGCCCCACTCCCTGCACCTCTCTCAACCTGACCCAACCGTCATTGAATCCTTACTAGTGTACAAATCATGAAGTCTCTGTCCCACTCGTTGTGGTTGAGGAGAGGCCAGGTCTACAGAGAGGGATCAGCCCAGAGCAAAGCAGGATTAGGGTGCAGCAGGGCCCGTTCTGAAAATCATGCATGTTACAGGCCTTGCATCCCCCTTTGCTGCTTCCCTACTGCTCACTTGTGGCTGCCACCAGCCTCCCACCCTCCGGGTTCCGCTGGCCGGGCCAGGAGAAGATGGGGGATGGCAGTCCCAGGGGGTCCAGGAGATCCTTGTATATAACCAGGTGGGACTGTTCTGAGTAATCTGAGCGCTCAAAGCTCAGGAGTCCCTTTCTTCCTGGATGGAGAAGTGGTGCAGGGATGGAGGTGCAGAGGAGATTTCCTCCTCTCCTTCCTCCTGTGGTTAATTAACTCACCTCTCCTCAGCCTTCCCCTCCAGACCACCAGCCAGGGAGGGGAGAGGAAGGAGGTCACGGCCAAGAACGCTGGCCTGTGACAACTTCCCTCCTTCCCACCAATGTGAGCCATCCTGAGTTGTCTGTACAATAGAAACCAAACCAAATGGGCACCCTCGGTCGCCGGGGGTAGGTGGGGAGGGGGGTGGGAAGAAGGGATGTCTGTCTGTCGATTCCCCTCCCCCTCTCCACTCTTTACCCTCAAAGGCAGAAGACTGTTACACTAGGGGGCTCAACCAACTCAATCCCACCCTTACCAACTGAGCCAAACCTAGAAACAAACGCAAAACACACATAGCGAGAGACAAAATAGAGGAGAGAAAGCTTGAGAGGGAGTGAGACAGGCGACCAACACAGAGGAGAGAAAACAAAAATAGCAAAAAAAAAAAAAAGCAGTTCTTTATAATTTAATATTCTATTTTAATAAAGGCGTTTATTACCGTATAAATGTAGCAAAGAACCTGGGCTAATATGAAAAAAAGACTTTTTATTAGGTAATTTATTATATGAAAAGGATATTTTATTTTATGATAAAGTGATCCTTAAAAAAATAAAAAAACTTTAGAAGGTTTAGAATATATGTAGGGAGAGAAGAAGAAAAAAATACATTTGTATTCAGAGTTAAATCTTAAAAAAAAGTGTTTTTAATATATGTTCGGGTTTACGTTGCTTTTTTCCCCCACTTTTTTTTGGGGAGGAATGTCATTTGCTTTTCTTGGGGGAGCATCCTGGGATGGATGGTGCAGAGAGGGGCTGGGGGAACCTGGTCCCTTGTGGGGCCCCCGCAAGTAGATTGGATTTCACTTCGTGGGCTCCCCCTCCCCTCTCCCCTCCCCCTCTGGGGAGCCGGCAGAGCCAAACAAAGAAAGGGATTAACCAGAAAGGAAGAAGCTGTAGGACTATGAACTGAGGATCCTGGGGTGTCCCCCCTTTCCCCTGCTCTGTCCCAGGGGCAAGTGGGGAGGGGAAATCTGGAGTTGAGGCCTAGCAGGCCTACAGGAACCCTCAGAGAGGTGTGAGATTTAAGAGAAATAGATTTTTTTTTAACCAAAAACGAGAGAGAAAGAGAGAAGAAAAAGAAAGAGAAACCGAGGGGTTTAAAAGAAAAGAATACTACAAAATAATAATTATTAATAATAATAATTCAAATTTATTTCATATAATCCTAGAGAAAGAAAGAAAGAATTACTAGTTACTTAGTAGATGATATTCAGATAGCTTAAAGTTTAGTAGCATTGAGGGCCCCTGGGCCCAGTAGAATGTATAAAAGTCGTAACGAAAAGATAGAGGAGGGAAGTGGCCGAGTGCACCCTGAGTCTCCCATCTCTAGATGTCAGGGTTGGAGCAGTTTGCTAGTTCAGACTGGGAGCTTCCGGTCTGCCGGGGTTGATCCTGAGAATCCTTGGATTTTTAAATTGTAGGACAAACAGATGAGGGACTCGGCTCCCAGGGTCTTTGGAAGGACAGATACTGGTCATCTCAGTCAGATGGGGGTCGCGCTGGGGGCAGCAAAGGAAGCTGAGCACATTCACCTGTAGCACCCCCGGCACCTGGGGGGCCCGGCCATCCCTCCATCTCTGTCGGGCAGCCCGCCCTGACTCCAAAGTGGTATGTCCTCTCCTGGGGCTCTCAGGGAGAATGGAGACTGCTGGACTCAAACCCTCCCAAGCCAGCTTCTCCCAGGCCTAACTGAGGAAGTTCTTGAAGCGTAACCTCAGTCCACTTCACTATAGATTGAAGAGCCTGGAAAGTCATTCCACAAACAGACCCACATACGCACACTTCTCACCTTCAGAGCTTCAAGAGCCCTGAGGGGATCAGTCCCCCACCCCATTCCCATCCAACACTCCACTTAACTTTGACCTCCATGGCAGCAGTAGCGCTAACAACCGCAGAATTTGTTCTTTAAAGCTGTGTGGTGCTTTGCCAGTTTGCAAGGTGCTTTCTTAAGTTAGATTCCATGAAGGACTGTGGTCCTCCCCCCAGTCTCCCCTAATGGGGTGGAGTGGAGACTCTGTCCTTGAAGGCCTGGGAGAACAGGGCCCCCAAGGGTACAGGCAAGGGAAGGGCATAGGGACCTTGGGTGACCCCAACCCTAACCCTCTCTGCTCCAACCCCCCTCTATCTGCATAAGTGTTCAGGTAGAGGTCATCATCCACTGTGCCCTGCCTGGTAGCACAGTGCCCTCTCCACAGAAAATTGGGGAGCCTGGCTTTTGCATGTGAGAAATCAATGTTTTTTTTTTTAAAAGCACTTGCCTTCTACCAACCCCAGCTTGCAATCAGATTGGGCCTTTCCCTCCTCTCCAAGCGGGTGGGAGGGCCCCTGGCTCTCCTCTGGACAAAGAGCCTACTCCTTACACCAATTACTCTGCCATGCCCCCTACCCTCTGGCCCTAGACCCCAAACACATCTCCCTCTCCCCAACTTACTCTTCTCGCCCCACCTAAAGACATTTCCCCCTGCTCTTTTTGTCCTAAAACCCCCGCTAGTTTGGGATGGTAGTGTCTGGGGTGGGGAGGGCCTCCCCTTCCCCACGGGTGGGGAAGGGGGGGTGGGTGGAGACAGCCCTGGGGCAGGGGGGATGGTCTCTCCACTGTAGAAAGTAGAGTAGGATTGTGGTCAGACTTAATTTGAGGCATCTAGTGAAGACACATACAAACCACCAAGAAAAAAGATTTCAAAAGCAAAATAAAGGCGGGAAACAAAACGGACCCATGCATAATCAAGTCAAAGTGAAGTTGCACAAAATGCAGAGAAACCAAGAAGGGGGAGGGTTAATGTATTAAATGTGCTATTAAGAACTTAATTTTATTAAAAGTATTATTACTTAAGACTCTGTCTTCTTGTTCTGCATGTGAGTGACCATCCTGGGCTGAGTGGGAGGATCTACAAAGGAATGATAGCTTGGGGTCTGCTCCAGTGTAACTCTAGGCTTCCCAACATGCTTTGCAGACAGTGGGTGCTTCCAGAGTTCTTGACCCTCCTCAGCAGTTCATGGCTCCCTCCTTCAGTCTTCAAGCTCTCCTTCCCTGCCTTTTCTCTCCACTCCCCTCTCTTCCTCAGAGGCACAGTCAGGCCTTCCACCCTGCCCTGGAGAACAGGGGAAAGTGAGGGAGGGTGATGAGACCTTGCCGGCACAGCCATTTCCTAGGCTCCCTGGAGATGGGCAGAGAGCTGAGACAGACCCTCCATTTCCCCTCAGCTTCACTCTGTCCTTCTCTGGGGTCAAGAAGAAGACTGGAGGGAGGGCTTGAGCCTCCCTCCTCCCAGGCTTAAAATGCCTCCCCAGCACACCCAGGGCTGGCCCTGACTCCCCCTCTCCTTGCGCCTCCCCTGCCTCCTTCCCTCGCCCCTGGCATTGGAGTGACCTCAGTTATTGGCACCAGGGCCCTGGGCACCAGATGGTGCCCGCTGATGGTTTCCTTTGTCTCGCCTTCCAGATACCCCCTCCCCTCCACATTGTGCTCCCTCCCACACCTGCCCTGGGGTTGGCAGTGGGAAAAGCGGGCACCTCCCATCCCCTTGGCACTGTCCCCAGACCACAGGACTCCAGAGGCAGCTGGCCCTCAGGGGCAGTGGGTATGGCGGGGAAGACAGAGGCAGAGGGGAGGGGACAGGGACTCGGAGGAGAGGCTGAAGTTGAAGGGAGGAGTTGAAGGGAGGCGGGGACAAGGAATAGAGGGAGGAACAGACGGGAGGCAGCAGGTTGCCCAGGCGTTGATACAAAATACAGCTTTATTTGAGGGCCCCAGTCTGTGAGGGGTGGACAGATAATAGTGATATGGATGCTGGGGCATGAAGACTTTAGGGCTCTGGGGGACTGAGAACAGAGAACTGGACACTCTGACCTCTGGAACCAATGGGTAGGGAAAAGTCCTGGAGCTAGGGTGGAGTTGAGGGACACCAGAAAGCCAGTGGGAGCAGGTAGGTGGTGGCCAGGGTCACAGGCTGATGCAACAGGCCCTCTTCTCCCCAGGGCCAGGCTCCTGCCCAGCCTGGGCACTGCCCAGAGTGATGGCATTAGATCGAGTGCTGTTCTGTCTCTGCTTGGACACCTTCGCAAAGATCTCTGAGAGGGGAGAGAGCAGTGGTCAGGCTGGAAGGAGACTTAGAACCCCATTCCTCCCACCGCCCCTGCAGGACTGCATGCCCTTCTGAGCACTGGGGGTGGTGGCACTTGCAGGTTTTGCAGGACAGAAGTAGAGTGTGGGCACCTGGGTCTCTTCCACTTACCTGGGTGGAAAAAGAACAAGACTCAGCCCCCGGGAGGTGTTGCCTTCCCTAAGCTCCAGGCTGAATGGGAGCACTGGGGAAAGACTGGGCGGGATGGGCAGTGATGCCAAGGGCCCATAGAGGAGGTGAGGAACCGGCTGGGGTGAGAGCTGGGTATCCTATTGCTACCTGTAGAAGCCACAGGGGTGGAGTGGGGGGGTGCCAGGTGGAGGCAGCCTCTAACCTTTGAGGACAGTTTCAAAGGCTAGTTCAACATTGGTGGAGTCCAGGGCTGAGGTCTCCAGGAAGAGCAGCCCATTGTTTTCTGCCAGGAAGGGAAATGCACCATTAATTACGGAGGTCCAAAGTAATAATACAAATATTTACTTAATGTTTACTATGTACATTTATGTGGTAAACCCTTGGCATATAGCAGCTCATTTAATCCCTAAAACAACTTGTGAAGTAGGTTCAGTTAGGAAGCTGAAATCCAGACACACAAAGAGAATGAATAAGGAACTTGTTCCATGTCTCACATCTAGTATCTGGCCAAGAGGAATAGGGAGGCTGGGCTATGGGACTCCAGAGGCTGCATCCTTTATTACCATATCATGATGCCTTTGAACTCAAAACCTCTTGGGCAAGTGTGACTGCAGATGGTCCAGCTCAGTCTCTACACAGGATCTTTTTTTTTTTTTTTTTTTGAGTTGGAGTCTCACTCTGTCACCCAGACTGGATTGCAGTAGTATGCTCCTGGCCACCACAGCCTTGACCTGCTGGACTCTGGTGATCCTTCTGCCTCAGCTTTCCAAGTAGCCGGAACTACTGGCATACACTACCACGCCCAGCTAATTTTTGATTTATTGTAGAGATAAGGTCTCGCCAAGCTGCCCGGGCTGGTCTCAAACCCACGGGCTCAGGCAATTCATTCACATCGGCCTCCCAAAGTGCTGGGATTACAGACTGAGCTACCAAGCCTGGCTCTACACAGGATCTTTGAACAATTAGGGTAATGCTGTCTGAAAACCAACAAATGTGTCAGGGTCAGTGGTTCAGGCCTATAATCCCAGCACTTTGGGAGGCCAATGCAGGAGGACTGCTTGAGCCCAGGAGTTCAAGACCAGCCCAGGTAACGTAGCAAGACCTCATCTCTACAAAAAATAAAAAAATTAGTGGGCAGGGGAAGAAGGAAGCACAAAAAGGGGGTTAGGGTTAAGGAATTACCTGTTGAGTACAATGTTCACTATCTGGGGGATTGGGCCACATGAGACCCAATTGCCACCATTACACAATATGTCCATATAAGAAACATACACGTGTATCCCATGAATCTAAAATAAAAATGGAAAAAAATATTAGCTGGAGCCAGGCTCGGTGACTCAGCCTGTAATCCCGCACTTTGGGAGGCTGAGGTGAGTGAATTGCCTGAGCCTGTGGGTTCCAGACCCGCCTGGGCAGCTTGGCGAGACCTCATCTCCACAATAAATCAAAAATTAGCCGGGCGTGGTAGCACGGACCTGTAGTTCCAGCTACTTGGAAGGCTGAGGCAGAAGGATCGCCGGAGCCCAGCAGGTCGAGGCTGCTGTGGCCGGGAGTGGCCACTGCACTCCAGTCTGGGTGACAGAGTGAGACTCTGACTCAAAAAAAAAAAAAAAAAATTAGCTGGGCATGGTGGAGTACGCCTGCAGTCCCAGCTGCTTGGGAGACTGAGGCGGAAGGATTGCCTGAGTCCAGGAGGCTGAGGCTGTGATGAGCTGTGATTGTGCCACTGCACTCCAGCCTGGGCAACAGAGTGAGACCCCAGCTCAAAAAATAAAACAGTAAATCAACTATGAATAATTGCCAATGAAGACAATCTCAGGACAAGTGGTGGGACATCACGGGAGACACAGGAAGTCCTGAGGAAGAGGGGAAGGAGGTAGAGGACTATATGAAGAAGGCCAGTCTGGGGCCCTGGGAGCAGGAGCAGAGACTGGGGAGATTGGAACTATGGGTTGGGCAGGCTTGGAGGAGTCAGCCAGGGTAGTGATGGGCTCTCACCGGCAAACATGCGGGCCTCTTCAGTGGGCACCTCCCGGGCCTGGCTCAGGTCACTCTTGTTACCCACGAGCATGACGACGATGGTGGCTTCGGCATGGTCGTAGAGCTCCTTCAGCCAGCGCTCCACCACAGCGTAGGTCTGGTGCTTGGTTAGGTCAAAGACCAGGAGAGCCCCCACTGCGCCACGGTAATACCTGCGTGGGAGTGGGCAGGATGAACAGAGACAAAATCAGGGGCGTTGAGCCCCACATCGGAGCAGAGTCATCAAGCCAAGGAGCCCAATATCAGAGTGCCAGAGATCAGGAAATATGGAGACCGGAGTCCAGAGACCCAAAGCTCAACAGGGCAGCCCAAGGCTCCTGTTCCCTCCAGGGCCACTGGACTGGGAGCCTCTGAAGCGTCACCTCCCTGCTTAAACTCTCCACTGAGCTAGGCGTGGTGGTTCACGCCTCTAATCCCAGCACTTTGGGAGGCTGAGGCAAAAGGATTGCCTGAGTCCAGGGGTTCCAGACTCCAGAGTTGGAGTCTTACTCTGTCACCCAGGCTGGAGTGCAGTGGCACGCTCATAGCCACCACAGCCTCGACCTACTGGGCTCAGGTGATTCTTCTGCCTCAGCCTTCCAAGTAGCTGGAACCACAGGCTGGATCATTTTTTTATTTATTGTAGAGACGAGGTCTTGCCATGTTATTCAGGCTGGTCTCAAACCTCTGGACTCAGGCAATTCTCTCGCCTCAGCCTCTCAAAGTGCTGGGATTACAGGCATGAGCCACATGCCCAGCAAATGTCCATCTCTTTTGGCAGTCCCTGGTCTGACCATTCCAAGTATCCCTGCAAACATTCAGCTCCCCCTTGGAGTTGAATGGAACATCTTCAGACTGGTGATATCAATGATTCCCAATGTATTGATGCCTCAAGTGAGGCTCATAAGAGGTCGGGTGGGCCGGGTGTGATCCCAGCACTTTGGGAGGCTGAGGTGAGAGGATTGCCTGAGCCTGGGGGTTTGAGACCAGCCTGGGCAACTTGGTGAGTCTTCGTCTCTACCATAAATCACAAAAATCAGCTGGGCATAGTGGCATGCATCTGTAGTTCCAGCTACCTGGAAGGCTGAGGAGGAAGGATCTGAGTCCAGCAGATCAAGGCTGTAGTGGCCATGAGCATGCCACTGCACTCCAGCCTGAGCAACAGAGTGAGACTTCAACTCAAAAAAAATAAAAAGAAGTCAGGTGATGAGGAATGATGAGTGTGTGTGGACTTGGCAAGTATGTGTGACAGAAGCCCCTGACTCTTGCTTTCTGCCTGCTGGCAGGTGCTATATCCCCCATCCCACACACACACAGACTTGGGCTTCACACTGGTAATCAGATGTGGTATCAGATGCGAGACCCAACCCTTGACATTTGTGGTTAGCTGAAGGCTGCCGAGTGCAGGGCACTGTATGGACATGAGGGGGGGCTCTCAATCTACACAGCCTGCCCCCTCCACCCTGATTTTGTGGTCCTTTAAGCGTCACATAGAATGCCACATATAAAGTACCTTGTCCCTTCCTGGGTTCATAGAAAAGGCCTAGCAAGCAGTGGCAATGATTCTTATTTCAGTCCCACTGGTCAGTATGAGTAGATTCTATAGTACTAAATCCTGCTGCCTGTCTCTCCTGTGATCCCCCGGGAACACAGTGCCCAGTCCTCTTGCTGCCTCCTCCTCCCCTCCTCCAGAGGTGTTCCCTGACTTCCCCAGGATTCCCACCACCCAGCCGCCCCCCAGGCCCGGGCTCACGCCGAGGTGATGGCTCGGTACCGCTCCAGGCCTGCTGTGTCCCAGATCTGAGCCTTGACAGCGGCGGTGCCCAGCATCACAGTGCGGGTGGAGAACTCGACCCCGATGGTGGTGCGGCTGTCGTGGCTGAACTCGTTGCGTGTGAATCGGGACAGCAGATTGGTCTTCCCCACTCCTGATTCGCCGATCAGTACCACTGAAGGAGCGGAGAGACAAGGGTTGAGCCCCTGAGCAGAGTGACTCTGAGCCCACCTGCACTTGGAGGGTCTGTCATTCAGAAAAGGCGAACTGAGCTCAGAAAACAGGAGGAAGCTGGGTCTTCTGGCAGAGACTGAAGCCTGCAACTCTGCATAATGCATCTGTCCTGGTGGGCAGAAGGACCAAGGGCTTAAAGTAAGCAATGGGGCTTTAAAAGTTATAGCCTGAGCCGGGCTTGGTGGCTCAGCCTGTAATCCCATGCCTTTGGGAGGCTGAGATGAGTGGATTGCCTGAGCCCGTGGGTTCGAGACCCACCTGGGCAAGTTGGCGAGACCGCATCTCTACAATAAATCAAAATTAGCCGGGCGTGGTAGCGCGCACCTGTAGTTCCAGCTACTTGGAAGGCTGAGGCGGAAGGATCGCCGGAGCCCAGCAGGTCAGGGCTGTGGTGGCCAGAAGCGACCACTGCCCTCCAGTCTGGGTGACAGAGTGAAACTCCAACTCAAAAAAAAAAAAAAGTTATAGCCTGGTTTGTTGAGACTATGTTGCACAGTCAGCCTGCATTTCTGGTGATGGAGCGATGTCTGTGGGCTATTGATGACTGCCATGTGCAAAGGTTGGTGGTGTGGGTGACTGTGGACAGCAATGACAAGAGTTCTGGGGGACTAGGGAATATGAGGACATTGTGCTTAGCTCTCACTATATGAGCAGGAAGGACATGTGGGAGGCTTGGTACGTGTGTTTGCACAGGGAGCCGAAGTGTGAATAGAAGTGTGGATGAGGAGAAAGTTTGGCAGTTGACACATCCATGGGTAAGAGGAAGGTATGCGTGCTCATGTGGTGTGTATGAGAAGTTAGGTTCTAGTCGGGATGGTGGCTCCCACCAGTAATGTTAGCACTTTAGGAGGTGGAGGTAGGAGGATCTCTTGAGGCCAGGAGTTTGAGATCAGCCTAGGCAACATAGCGAAACCTCGCCTCTACAAAAAATAAAAAAATTAGCCAGGCTTGGTGATGCTGGTGGTGCACACCTATAGTCCCAACTGCTCAGGAGGCTGAGGCAAGAGGATCATTTGAGCCCAGGAAGTAGAGCTGTGATGGCATCAATGTACTCCAGCCTGAGAGACAGAGTGAGACATTGCCTGAACCTGCAGGTTCGAGACCCGCCTGGGCAACTTGGTGAGACCTCATCTCTACAACAAATCAAAAAATTAGCCAGGTGTGGTAGTGCGCGCCTGTATTTCCAGCTACTTGGAAGGCTGAGGTTGAAGGATCGCCAGAGCCCAGCAGGTCAAGGCTGCAGTGGCTGGGAGCAGCCGCTACACTCCAGTCTGGGCGACAGAGTGAGACAAAAAAAACCCCAAAAAACAAAGACGGTTTCAGCTGTGTTTAAACAGTGACAGTCCTGCATGGTTAAGAGCATGGGCTTGGTAGGGCGCAGTGGCTCACGCCTATAATCCCAGCACTTTGAGAGGCCAAAGTGAGAGGATTGCCTGAGCCCACAGGTTCAAGACCAGTGTGGGCAACCTGGCGAGACCCTGTCTCCACAATAAATCAAAAAATTAGCCAGGTGTGGTGGTGTGTGCCTGTAGTCCCAGCTACTTAGAAGGCTGAGGCAGAAGGATTGCATGAGCCCAACAAGTTGAGGTTGCAGTGGCTGTGAGTGTGCAACCGCACTCCAGCTTGGGTGACAGAGTGAAACTCCAACTCAAAAAAAAAAAAAGAGAGCATTGACTGAGGCCGGGCACAGCCTGTAGTCCCAGCACTTTAGGAGGTGGAGGCGAGAGGATTGCCTGAGTCTGCCTGTTCGAGACCAGCCTGGGCAACATGGCAAGACCTTGCCTCTATAATAAATTTTAAAAATTAGCCAGGCATGGTGGCACACACCTGTTCTAGTTACTTGGAAGGCTGAGGTGGAAGAATCACCTGAGCCTAGCGGGTCAAGTCTGTGGTTGCTGTGAGCACGCCATTGCCTGGGTGACAAAGTAAGACTCCGACTCAAAAAAAGAGTATGGACTGGGTGTTGGAGTAGCTCTGTTGTCTTTTAGCAAGTTATTTAATCTCTGTGAACCTTCCTTTTTGTATGAAAAAGGCAAAAACTGCTTGGCACAGTGGCTCATGCCTATAATCCCAGCAGTTTCGGAGGCTGAGGTGAGAGGATTGCCTAAGTCCAGGGATATGAGACCAGCCTGCACAACTTGGCCAGACCTCATCTCTACAATAAATAAAAAAATTAGGTGGGCACAGTGGTGCATGCCTGTAGTTCTAGCTTGGAACTTGGAAGGTTGGAAGGCTGAGGTGGAAGGATCACCTGAGCCCCGTAGGTCAAGGCTGCAGTGGCCATGAGCGTGCCACTACACTCCAGCCTGGGCGACAGAGTGAGACTCCAACTTACAGAAAAAAGAAAAAGAAAAAGGGAAACCTTTAGTATCTACTTTATGGTTTTTTATAAGAAGTAAATGAGATATTGACCAGGATATAGTAAGTGTATAAAATTGTAAGTTTGGCCATGGTGCCTCAACCCTGTAATCCCAGAGATTTGGGAGGCTGAGGTGGGAGGACACTTGAGTTCAAGACTAGCCTGGGGAACATAGCGAGACCTCCATCTCTCTTTTTTTTTTTTTTGAGTTGGAGTCTTACTCTGCAGTAAGGCCACTGCAGCCTCGACCTGCTGGGCTCCAGCGATCCTTCCACCTCAACCTTCCAAGTAGCTGGAACTACAGGCGCGTGCTACCACACCCAGCTAATTTTT